ATATTGTATTACAGGTCGTCCTTGGCTTACAACCATTCATTTAGTGACCATTTAAAATTACAAAGAAATTGAAAAAAGTGAGTTATGATCATTTTTCACATTTAAAACAGTTGCAGCATCTCCCTGATCACGTTATCAAAATTTGGATGCTTGGTAACTGGTTCGTATTTACAACAGTTACAGTGTCCTGGGATCACGTGATCATCTTTTGTGACCTTTTGACAAGCAATGTCAATGGGGAAGACAGATTCGCTTAACAACCATGTTACTAACTTAACAATTGCAGTGATTCATTTAACAACTGTGGCGAGAAAGGTTGAAAAATTGGGCAAAATTCACATAACAACTGTCTCACTTAGCAACAGAAATCTTGGACTCAATTGTGATCGTAATTCGAAGACTACATGAATATCTGACAGTTTTATATTAAACAGACTCTATCCTTTATACTGGCCTACTGTTCACAGGCTCACCAAAGAAACAGAATAACTCTTAAGCTAGCTGCTACATATTACGTACATAATAAATACATCAGTAGATTTCTACTAACAGTCCTCATGGCAATTAAGTCAGTTGTGTGTTTTCTAGCTCATTTGATCCAACTGTGAGTTTTAGTTGCCAGAGAGATTTTGCCTTCAAACGCTTTTTGAAATAGTTCTTTAAAAAATTATGTGATTAGTAGCCAGCTAGGGATAATTTGAAAATCCGTATCATGTTGTTCACTTTTTAAAATTTTACACCCCTCTCTTTCCTCTCTTATCAACAAATAGGTCAGAACATGGGAAATATATTTTTAGAATAATCATGCGTAAGAGATAATGTTTTAATGGAAATAAATGTTTTCTTATAGTCTTTCAGACTCATGAATTTAATCTAAAATGATGTATCTTATAATACGAATCTTTATTTGATCCACCAATATTTGAATGGTTGGTATCATTCCTAGTTTATTTCTGTCCCTTGTGTTTCCACATTACCACAGTGGCACTAACTACTTCTAGAACAGGCGTGTCAAACTTGATTTCATTGAGGTCCCCATCAAGGTTGTGTTTGACCTTAAGAGAGACAGGGGGGGCCGGGGGGCGGGCCTTGAGTTTGACACCCCTGTTCTAGAAGTTCACTGGTAGTAGATCACTGGTTATTTTTTACTACAAAGATGTGGCAAAGTATACAGAAAGACTTATCTATGTCAAGATATGATGAGATCAGAGGTGGGCTTCCCATACTGTAGCTACCGGTTCGCCTAGCACCAGAAATGTGAGCGTGCGGCACCACAAAACACGGCAATTAGATTGTGCATGTCATCCACACATGCATGCGACGCAGTGGTGGGTTTCAATTTTTTTTACTACTGGTTCTGTGGGCGTGGCTTGGTGGGCGTGGCATGGCATGGCTTGGTGAGCGTGGCTTGGCGGGCAGGGGAAGGATAGTGTAAAATCTCCATTTCCTCCCCACTCCAGGGGAAAGTTACTGCAAAATCCCCATTTCTTCCTGATCAGCTGGGACTCAGGAGGCAGAGAATAGATGGGGTGGGGCCAGTCATAATTTTTACTACCGGTTCTCTGAACTGCTCAAAATTTCCACTACCGGTTCTCCAGAACTGGTCAGAACCTGCTGAAACCCACCTCTGATGCGACGTCAAACAATATGGCAATTTGGTCTCATGCGCTATCCACACAAGTGCGGTGTCACAAACACAGCGATATAGGATGGGATTGCGCCCGGATGGTTGGGCTGGCCCACCCACAAGTTGCCACTACCGGTTTTCCCGAACCAGTCTGAACCGGCTGAATCCCACCTCTGGGTGAGATGTTTTAAACGAATATATTACCATACTGAAGAATATCCTTTCAGGAAAGCTGAAGCAATGACTTTGAAAAGAATAGGAAGTTGTAGTTGGAAAATTCAAAAGCAAGCTTGGGAATTTTTCATGAGAATGTTCAGCATGGCTGGAATTGTAGTAGGATTTTAAAGAATTTTCAAAGAGGCTGGGGCTACACCATATCTTATGAAGAGCATATTCATAAGATACAAGAGGGCTGTTGCAGGAACTTTCGGTGGGACGTGGCCAAAATTGGCAGAAAATTCCAGGAAAATGGGGATTAAATGGATAAGACTTAGAGTTAGGAACATTGTTCAGAAAAATAAAAATGGGTCACTGTGGTTTCTATGGCTTATTGTGAAATGCATTGGAGATGCTTCACTTGCTTAATGACCATGTAATTCACCCAATCCATCTGTACCTCCATGCAGGAATGAGGCTGTAATGTTTTCTTTTCACTTTGCAATTCGTCTCCCTTAGGTATACCTTGATCCATTGAATGGAGCTATAAAACTCATGTAAAATTATCACTATTAAACAAAAGTCAATCTCGAAACCATCTAAATATTGCAGTGAGCTATAGGAGATAGTTACATAATTTAAGGTATTCATAGTGGTGCCTAACCAATGTGTATATTTTACAGAATAACCTCCTGTTATGACCTAATTAAAGATACATAAATCTGGGACACTAACTGTATCTGAGTCAGATTATTGGAGAGATATTCTACTGAGGAGGATATGCTCTAAATTGGGGTATTGTTAATGGAATTTGGAGGACAGGGCCACCTCATTTGGCCTCACACTGTCGTAGAAATCACCATCATCGTACTGTATATGCACTTAGATTAGTGATATAAACTTTTCCATCATGTGTTTATTAGACAGTGCCACCTATGATTGTTTTATGATTTAGTACAAATGAGAGGGAGATGCACATTAACTAGCAGGAGACTAAAGTGGTCAAAATTAAATCTGCCAGAGCAGAATGCTCCAGGGGGCTATAAAATCCTATTTGTATTCCTGTACAAAGAATTCAAACTCCTCTATTTCCCATACTTTAAACATTGTATAGTACTATATACAGAACAAAGACCATGAACTTTTATGAGTTAAGGTTCTACCTGTTTTTCCACTCACTAGTTTAATAGGCACCATTACAGCATACACCCATTTCAACACAAGTCTTTATGTAACATTTTAGGGTTTTCATTTCCAATCCTCACAGGATCCAGTTAAAGTTTGACATTTTTACCAGTCTTTAAGAAGTGCAATCCAACTCATACTAGCAGTCAGAAATTAAAAGACGCTAGCTCCTGGGGAGAAAAGCTATGGCAAATCTAGACAGCATACTAAAAAGCAGAGACATCACCCTACCAACAAAAGTGCATATAGTCAAGGCTATGGTTTTCCCAGTTGCAATGTATGACTGTGAAAGTTGGACCATAAGAAAGGCTGAGCGCCAAAGAATTGAGGCCTTTGGTGCTGGAGAAGACTCCTGCGAGTCCCTTGGACTGCAAGGTGATCAAACCGATCAGTCCTAGAGATCAACCCTGACTGCTCTTTAGAAGGCCAGATCCTGAAGATGAAACTCAAATACTTTGGCCACCTAATGAGAAGGAAGGACTCACTGGAGAAGAGCCTAATGCTGGGAAAGATTGAGGGCAAAAGAAGAAGGGGATGGCAGAGAACAAGGTGGCTGGATGGAGTCAATGAAGCAGTAGGTGTGAGCTTAAATGGACTCCAGAGGATGGTAGAGGACATTCCTGGAGGAATGTTGTCCATAGGATCGTGATGGGTCGGACATGACTTCACAACTAACAACAAAGCATATTTTGAAGTAGGAAAATAATCTGTGCTATTAGTTTTCACTGACTTGTTTGGAATGAGCAAACACTAAGTTGTGAATTTTCTCATGTGAGTCATGTTGGCATAAAACAAAGTTGGAAAAGCATGCAGAGAATGACATATAGAATACTTTCCGACCCTTTAACCAGCAATAACCATGGGAGGCCTCTGTATTTTCTTCTGGGTCATTTCTTTCTGTTTTTCTTCTCTCTCGTGTTGGATCTGTTTATGAGTTTGGAGAAGCACAGAATAAGCTGCTGACATTCCACATTAATCACCTAGCTAGGAGAAAAGGGGCTTAAAATGGCACATTCAGCAACTTTCTATGCTATGCCCAACTGCCTCACCCAGGGCAGCTTTGATGGCATTTGTTGTTGTTTTTTTCCACAGCTCCAACTCAGAACCAGCCCATTTTGGAACACAAGCTTTCCTTTGCAGGAAGTCTGTAGAGATTCTCAGTCATCCAGGTCATGGTTGTCCCAAAGGTGCTTTTTCAGGGGGCAACTGGACTTTGTTTTTTCTCTTTGAAGACATTTCACTTCTCATCCAAGAAGCTTCTTCAGCTCTGACTAGATGGTGGAGAATGGAAGGATTTATACTCCTTGCAGACAGCTGGTCATTTGCATCCTTTCAGAGAGTCATTGAGGCCACTTGGAGGTTTACCTGTGTCCGCAGGGTCACCTGAGTAGTGCTCCTGGTTCCTGTAGTCAACAATTTTTTTCCTCTGGCAATCCATTCCTACTCCCACACCATTCCAAGGGTGTTCGTCCTAAATTGTATAGCTAAAAGTCTGTAGAGATTCTCAGTCATCCAGGTCATGGTTGTCCCAAAGGTACAACCAGGAGCACTACTCAGGTGACCTTGAGAACACAGATAAACCTCCAAATGCTTCAACAACCTTCTAAAAAGGATGCAAATGACCAGCTGTCAGCAAGGAATATAAATCCTTCCATTCCCCTATTATCCTGTCAGAGCTGAAGAAGCTTCTTGGATGAGAAGCGAAACGTCTTCAAAAGAAAAAACAAGAAAGCCGCCTGGAAAAAAAAAAAAGCATCTTTCCCTTTGCAGGATTCTCTCACACGTACATCTGCGCGTTTGTGTACATTCTCCCCAGCGTGTAATTACTATAGGCGGGTGTGCATACGGAATCCGCCTCTCTGAGAGTGCTTGGGCTCTTCCTATGTGCTATATCTGCGCGTGTTCGTTTTATTTCCAAGTGTGCACGCTCCTCAGCCGGAGAAGGGAGGGAGGAAAAAACAACGACTAGTGACATGCAGGCGGGCGGGTGTTATCTCCCAAACGTCATTCGAAACCACCCGCCTCTTGCGGAGGCGCATGCGTCGTGCGCACCGAGCCGGGACCCGTACATGCCGGAATTGAGCAAACTTGGCTTAATTGAGCGCTTTATCTAGAGAGAGGCACCTTCGCGTCGACCTCCGGCCGCGAAGAGAGCAAAAAGCAACGGCTCCGTGGCGTCGTTCAAAGCGAAAAGCAGGGATGGTCAGAAGCTTGGCCGCTGCCGCCATTGTGGGGAACGGGCAAAAAGGCTTTCTCCTCGTTCAGGGAGAACCCGCCGTCCTTCTCGGCGTCGCGCGCTCCGCTTTCCCCGTTGGTTGCCTAGGAGATCGGAAGCGGGCGAGCGGCCCCGCGAGGAGGGCTTTCGGAGCGCGCGCGCGGCCGGCGGCGGGAGTCAGCCCGGGCGGGCGGCCGTGCTCTGAGGCGCGCGCCCCCTCCTTGTCGCGTGCCGAAGGATTCCCTTCGCCTGCGTTGGGGATCCGCTTCCTCAGCCTGAGCGGGAGTCGCTGCCGAGCGGTGGAAGGACGAGGTGAGGCGGGCAGGGCAGGTTGGAGGGCTGGACAGACGCCTGTAAGTCGCTTCTGTGGAGGGCTTCTCTGAGTGTACTTGGGCAGTAGCAAAAGGCAGCTCCAGTTACGCCGTTCTACTCCGGAGTAGTTAACCCGATACGCTTCCCACGTTTTCGATTTCACTTCCCACTCGCTCCCATTAGGGATCAGAGTTCATGGAGGTTGTACTACATAAGGCGAAACATTTGGAAGGTGTCGGTTTGATTTATGGAGATTCTCAGTCATCCAGGTCACCCAGTGGTTTAAATCCAAATTTTTTACTACCGGCTCTGTGGGCGTGACTTGGTGGGCGTGGCAGGCGAAGGATACTGCAAAATCTCCATTCCCACCCCACTCTGGGGCCAGCCAGAGGTGGTATTTGCCGGTTCTCTGAACTACTCAAAATTTCTGCTACCGGTTCTCCAGAACCTGTCAGAACCTGTTGGATTTCACCCCTGGTTATCCCAAAAGTGCTTTTTCAAGAGGCACCTGGAATTTCTGGTTTTTCTTTAAAGACGTTTCGCTTCTCATCCCAGAAGCTTCTTCAACTCTGACTGAAGAAGCTTCTTGGATGAGAAGTGAAATGTCTTCAAAGAAAAACAAGAAAGTCCAGGTGCCTCTTGAAAAAAGCACCTTTGGGTGTTGGTTTGATTGTAAATGGCATAGATCACAATACCTAGATCATTTAGGTAATAAATGATAAAGATCTGGGTGCAGTGGCAAAGGATGATATATTATTTATGGAATTTAATACATTAACTACATGTTCTATAATATATTACCGTAATATTGATGTGATGTATAATTTTATAGATTGACTACTTCAGTGTAAATAACCAATCACGATTTGACGATTGTATGCTGTGTTAAATAAGCATCTACTAGACTTGATTAGTATCCAACTCTGCAGAACTGGTAGCAGATTATAATAGGCAGAGTAATTTTAAGCAGTAAGTAATGTCATAATCAAAAGTACAAAGTGGAAAGTTAATGATAGTCTGATCCACACAAATCTAGAAGCTCTACATTTGCTTTGTTTGATTTAGTGTATGGGAACCTATTGTGGAACAAAAAATAAACTTGAGCAAGTACAAACAAAAATACCACAAATTGTTGGGAGGCTCTTCAGCCATCCATCATTATTACCACATGATTTTTTTAAAAAAAAAAGATTTAAAAATGAAAAGCAGTAAATATCTTTTTTAAAAAAACAAAGGTTTAGTTCCTCTACCACAAATTCTATAATGTGTGCTTCCCCTCCCATATATGCACATGGCCTCAAAGTTTAAATTATAAAGGAAACAAATTCCCTCTGCTAGCAGAATTTTCTTTAGAATATATATTTAGATGGTAAAAGGACTTGGACAAAAAAATATCTTACTGACTCTGGGTGTTCGGAAAGGCTGCCTGCATAGAACATCTACCTATGTCATACTAGGTGAGCCAAGCTGACCAGATTTAGTAGATGTCTAAATTACACTATTAGTCTATTATTCAGGTTAATTATTTAAGGATTTGATTAAATGGATTGCATCCCACAACAATTTACACTATAATTTGATTAAAAGATTTGTATTCTGTTTCGTATTAAACCTCAAAGCAGTGGCTTAAAATAATTAAAATTGCAACAGTGCAATTTTTAAGTGGCTTAAATGATTAATTTAAAATGTGCATTAATTAAAAAATACAATTTAAAATTTTTAAAAAGATCAAATGAATAATAAAGCAATAGCAAAAGAAGTAGAATGAACTGTTAATGTTTCAACTTCCATAAGAATAGGTAGTTTATTTTAGAAATCATAAATTGTCCGTGAGAATTTAGATGGAATCCCTGGGCCATAGAAGGAAGGAGAGGGAAGGCAGAAGACAGGCACATCAGACCAAGTCTAGCCAGAGTCACAATACAAGATAATCTTGGTAGATAGTAAAGGAGACCAGAGACCAACGCTATATAATTAGTATAATGACTTGCAGTTTGAAGAAAGACAACTGCAGTGAGCTCTGTTGAAAGGTCACCTTCCCCCCATCCTTAAGAAGCTGCCTGTGGAAAACAGTATCTAACCAAAGCTAAATCCTTTCAGATCACATGGATTAAAACAAAGTACATTTAGGAATGTACAAAGTACATTTAGGAATCTACTTCATTTTAATCCATGTGAAATGGGTTAAACTGTTCAAAAAGTTTAATGGGCTGAAGTTGATGTTAAAACACTTTTCATTAAATGATTGTGTGTGAATGTGTCTGTGTGTATAATCATAAACATCTTTATACTTACTCTCCAGCATTGCATGTTTGCAGTTAACTGTTTAAGGAAGAAGGAATGGGAATTATAAAAATTCCACTCCACGTTTTGGTTAAAAATAGCCATAAATGTTTTAATTGGTGGAAGCTGTAGTTACAGAGAACATATCCCAGCTATTTAAAGTTGAAATACCCTGTTTTACTGTAAAAGAGAAAATGGTAACTTGTTTATATTAAAGTTTGATTTTTTTTTACATCAGCTCTGCAGTTTGAAAACAACAAAAGTAGATGTTCACCATTGGGAAGTAGAACACTTTATTTTGATACCCATGCCTTTGTGTGCCTCTTGGAAGAAAATGGTAATGAATATATTGCTCTACAATTTGAATAATAATAATAGTTTTGTTATCACTTTATCTCTTTAGAAATAACCACCTACATAAATACTATTTTGCATGCATTTTTCTGGAATAAGTTAGCTGGCATTTGTATGTACCATATTTTTCTGAGTATAAGATGCACCTTTTTCGCCCCTAAAAGAGGGTGAAAATTTGGGTACGTCTTATACACCGAATGTAGCCCCGCCCAGCCTCTGAAACTGAGGTTTCAGAGGCTGAAAAAGCAAGGCACAGAGCTCACAACCAATGAACCTGTTGCTAAAGTTCACCTCTGGGAACAGTTGATTGGGGGTATTTCGGAAGGCCAATCCACCTGCAATCACCTTTTTTCTTATTTTCTTCCTCAAAAACTAAGGTGTGTCTTATACTCCGGTGCGTCTTATAGTCTGAAAAATACGGTAGTTGTAGTGTATTTATGTCACTGTAATAGTAAGCATAAGTTTTGGGGGAAAGGTAGTATTAATGATTTTACACAATTGCATACTAGTTACAAATTAGAACTAGATTTCATTTCCTGTCCATTTCTGTACTTTGAAATTAATGCTGTTAAACATTGATATGCATAAGTCATACAAGTATTTCATTGTTGATCAATTTTATTTAAGATGCTCTCTTTTCAATGGTTGCCTCTTGTAATAATGTAAAACTTATGTGTAGGGCTTTTCCCCCCCAAATATTCTACATATATATCAATTAGTTTTAGATGTTCCATATCCAAACCACAACATGCCATCTGGGAACACCTGAAAACATTACAATAAGAACAGATGCAAAGGCCATAATTTGGTAGTGGCTAAGGGAAGGCAGGGCATAGAGGGAAGGTAAAATATAAAACGTGTAAGAGTGCACTGCAAGAGATGTAGATTTGTGGAGCATATTAAATCTTCAGAGGCCCTAAAAAATTGAAAAATTCTGCCTCGTTATTTAGGGTTACACCTGTTCTCTAATGATAATTATATGGGAAGGGATGAATTTTTTTCTGCTCACCAAATTATTATTGAAAGCTCTTGTTTTTATGATTATGCTTGTTGAATCAATGTGTATATAGCAAATAATAATGTTTTATATTGTTTTAGGATTCACCACTCAGCAGTCTGAGATCATTGTGTCTGCTATAATGAACATTATGAAAAACAATATGGATATGATACACAAAGACATGGTCACCAAAATGCAACAGGTTGAGAATGTATTTAATATATAATTATATTTACTAGGGTGGACTCAGATTAAAACCATCTAAATTATAGACATTTAATTATAATAACTGATTTTGATAGTGCTACTAACATAAAATGTGTTGCAAAGTAAATATATAATATATGTCTGTGCTAAACAATAGAATACTCTGATCTCCATCTATTCATAAACCATGCAAAAACATTCCTTTTTGCTGATATTGCCTTATTTTGCATGGATTCTTATATTTACCTTCAAAGTTAGTACTTCTTCATGAGTCCAAGGTGAGTGTGGGGCCATGCATATGGCATCTGTCTTACAACTCTTCAAATCAAATAAACATTTTTGGGGATCACACTACAACTGCAGAAAGCACCTGCCATTCCCAGGAAAAGACAGAACTATTTTAAGTAGTAACAGAGAGGTCATGTGAGCACCTTTCTATATTCCTTCCTACATTCAACTAAATAAAGTCCCCATCAGTTCTACATAATATTGCATAAACATTATAGCTAGAATGAACATTGAGGATGATATCTCAACACTGGCTGTACTGATGGCCTGAAGAAACCCTTTTTCCTTTTTTCTCCAAAGGAAATTGCTGTTCAGCAGATAATGTCTCACATTGGTGTTGTAAAAAAGGATATGATTATTTTGGAAAAGAGTGAATTTTCAGCACTCCGAGCAGAAAATGAGGTAATTTTTTTTTAAATGTAATGGCTATTTTTTGAACATATATGGATGAAATTTTAGTAGTAGCTCAAAAATATGTTGAATCCATTTAATATCAGCTACCATCTGAAATTAAGGAAAGGCTTCTGTTTTTAGTTTTAAGGTAGAAACCTTGTTCTAAATGAAATTACTGACACCAAACTATTGAAAGGGGTTTTGTATTTAACCACATTGAGAGCAGTAGATAAAAGAATGTGCTATGCTCGTGCCTATTTCATTTCATGGTGATTTGGAGTCCAACAAAAACCAACAAAAATATAAAACAATATAGTTTCTCTGAGACTGGAAATCTTGATTTTTGACTTCCCCTTTTCACCTCCATGTTCGTATTTGTGAGTGCTTTAATAAGATCAATGTGCTTGCTACATTCAGTTCAGCTTTGTACAGGCATATACAGTAGATGCTTTTTGAATATATCCATATATACTCATATATAGTAAATGTAGTTAAATGAGAATTCCAAGTTCCCTTCTTCTTTTCTACCTCCTTACTATCAAACAGAGTTGATTGTAACCTAAAATATGTATTTGCTACATGCTTCACTATTTTTTTGGCTGGCATTTTAACTAAGCTTATTCTTTTTTTTATGCAAAGAAAATAAAACTTGAACTTCAGCAGCTAAAAAAGCAAGTAACGGTAAGTTACATTATTTTCAAAATGCAACTTCAGAATATAAAATGAATATCTACTTTCTGTAAGAAGTTATTTTATAATTTCACCCTGTATCCACTTATATGGGAGCAAATGCCATTGGGCTCTACTACCCTTACTTCTGAATGAATATGTATAGGATTATATTGTAAAATTACAAGCACTTGATGAGAACCAACACATCAGCAGCATTGTCAAAATCCAGCATATCTGCTTAACCCATCAGGAAGGATTATGTATGAATTTCTATAAATACAGATAGTTTAAACACTGCTGAATACAAACATTGCATTAGTCTAGAAAGGGTTTGTTGCTTTTGCACTTGTAATTCAGAATGATAATGAAATTATATGATGACAAAGTAGTAATGCACGATATACATATCACATGCATTTATATTAACAATCTGTACATGGAACCTTAGAAATACTGATGTAAGGCTCTATCTTGTATTTTTTGATCTGTACCCTGGCAGCACCTAGAAACTGTGGGGAAAATTTACCAAGCCCCAAATTTAAGAAGAAGGCTGGGACTTCTGTTATCAAAATAAGTTGTCTACATAAAGTGAAACCACTTAATTTGCTTTTCATCTATAATAAACTAATCCATAGAAATCAGTGCCAAAAGAATCTTGGTAATAAAAATATTCTAGTAAAATTACCATAGCTAAAATATCTTCAGCAAAAAAATAAAGAAATTTTCTTATAGGTAGTTGATAGAGGACTGCTTGTATACTCTCAAATAAAGGTAGTCCTCAACTTATAGCAGTTTGTTAGCGACCATTTGAAATTACTGAAAAAATGACTACAGACCATTTTTCACACTTACAACCCATTGCTGCATCACCATGGTCACATGATCAAATTTCAGAAGTTTGGCAGCTGATTCATGATGGTTAAGAGTGTCCCAGGGTCAAGTGATCACCTTTTGCGCCCCTCTGACAAGCAAAGTCAATGGGGAACCCAGATTCACTCAACAACCACAGTGATCACTTAACAATTGCACTGATTCATTTAAGAATTGCGGCAAGAAAGTCATAAAATGGAGCAAAACTCACCTGTCTAACAGCAATTTCTGTGCTTAGCAACAGAAATTTTGGGCTCAATTATTGTTGCAAGTTGAGGACTACCTGTACTGCTTTTGAATATGTCTAATAATGTCTTTCCCTACATTCTAAATTAGAAGCATTTCTTGCACTGGATTATGTGGTGAAACATATTGCTGTTGAAAAAGTAAATCATTGATGGGTGTTTCTGTGATAGAGTTCAATAGATGTATCATAGCAACAGAAACGGTGTGAGGCAGACATTCAGAATTCAGCTAACTTAAGGCATCTTTTATAAATTATATTGAGGTTTCTTGACCGGATACCAAGTAATATAGAGAGCAGTATTCATTTGAGTAAAATACACATTTTCATGCTTTTATTTAGTTTTCTCCTTCTGCTTTGGGTCTCTAAAAAACCTGGAACAATTTAGCAGGAGGAGAGTTTGGTAGAATAAAAGAAATTACATATTTCTGGAATAATTTAGGGCTGTTGACCATGGAAAATTTCATTAAATATAGTATTGCTTTTTTTGATTAAGGAATCTGAATACAGGCATTCAGTTTAGTACTATGCAATTTTTTTTTCTAGGATGAAACTTCCAAAGTGCGAACAGATAGCAAGTTAGATTTCAATCTAGAAAAAAGCAGAGTAAAAGAATTGGTATGTATGCTTTTCTTTTATATAAAGATTACTCAGAAATATTGTCATACTGTGTCATGTAATTCTGTGTTAACTGTTAAACTGGTTCTCATAATTATTATGTTACTATTTGATCTAATAGTATTGTGAGGATGACACCTGTCTAATGTTTTAATCCATTAGATTAAATGAATTAAAATGAATTAAACTAATGGATTAAACATTAGTTTTAGATAACCCTTTTTTTTTTTTTACAGAACTTGAAATAAATTATTTTAGGCTCACTGGCTGCACAGTTTAGATTCTCCTGAGTGCTTAATGAGTTCAAGAACCATAGCTAAAAATAAACTTTGGAAGATATTTATGGTTTTCCTGGGCCAATGTAGATTTGAAAGTATTTCATTTGGAACTTTATCTGATGGTATTTAGATAGCATTTCATTCATATAACTGCTAGTAAAGAAGGTAGAATAGAATGTGGAAGAGGCAGAAACTCTAGCTGCAGTGATATTTTAAGATGATTAATGACAAATAGAAGGTGATCTTTTTTTTTTAGAAGCAGAAGATAATTAACTACTCTCTTCTTTTTCAGTATTCACTGAATGATAGAAAAGTATTGAAAATGAGAACAGAAATAGTGGAATTGGTAAGAATTACAAATATAATTATTAATCACAGTAAAAGTCCTTTTCATATCTGTTTCCAAACTTTCTTAGACATCATTATTTAATTAATCAAATGAATATAGCTCACCCCTCCCACAGAAGGCAACTTTGAGCAGCAAACTATAATCAGATAAGAACAGAGGTGAAATCCCACCGGTTCGGTCCGGTTCGCCTGAACCGGTAGTAAAAAAGGCTACTGAACTGGTAGCAAAAAATGTAAAAAGAAAAAGTTCCGATGATCAGCTGAACGATCTGGAACCAGTAGTTAAAAATGCTTTTAAAAAGTAAAAAAAGAAAAAAAAAGTCTGCGACGATCACAGCTGTGCCGTGCGCCCCCCCCCCCGGCACGCTGTTCTACTTACCCCATGCCTCCTTTTGATGTGCACTGTGTGCACATGCACCTCACATTTGGTGCGTGCTGCACATGCGTGTGCACAGCTCTTATTTGGTGCGCGGCGTGCATGCGCAACCAGCGATCCAGTAATAAACCGGTTCAGATTTCACCACTGGATAAGAACCATAAATAAAAACAAAAATATACACTACAAACATCTTTTTAAATAATAAATATAAAAGCAAAAGATACAAACCACAGAAGGGGGAAAAATAAAAATGGCCACCTCAACAATAGAGCCATCTGAGCAGTTGTCTGAGAGCCTCATGCCTGACAGCATAAGTAAGATTTGTGGGCTTTTCATAATATCAAAAGGGATGGAGCTATGGTAATCTAATGTTGGGGGAAAGAATGTTCCATAAGGTAGGTACTGTTGCAGAGAAGACGCCTATCCTGGAACTCATCAGTTGAAGGCCCCTAGCTGATGGGACCCACAACATGCCTGCTCTGCCCAATCTAGATGGAGGGCTAATATATCTGGGAGAGGCAGTCCCTCAGATAATCTATTCTTTTTATTTTATTTTATTTTATTTTATTTTATTTTATTTTATTTCCAATTTCTATACCGCCCTTCTCCCTGAGGACTCAGGGCGGTGTACAGCCAGAATTAAAAACATGCAATACAAATATTAAAAAACAATTAAAATATCTATAAATTTGGCCCAAAAATTAAAAATCACTACCAATTAAAACATTTAAAAATTTCTTCTTAAGCCAGCCCGGCTTGCGGGAAAAAATGGGTTTTAAGGGCACGGTGGAAGGCACTAAGGTCTTGGATTCTCCTTATCTCTGGGGGCAACTGATTCCAGAGGGTAGGTGCCCCCACAGAGAAGGCCCTCCCCCTGGGGGTCACCAGCCTACACTGTTTGGCTGATGGCACCCCGAGGAGGCCCTTTCTGTGGGAGCGCACGGATCGATGGGAGGTCGTCGGTAGCAGCAGGCGGTCTCGAAGATAGCTAGGCCCTATGCCATGGAGCGCTTTAAAGGTGATGACCAACACCTTGAAGCGCACCCGGAAGACCACCGGGAGTCAGTGCAGCTCACGCAGTGCAGCGGTGTTACATGGGAGCGCCATGCTGCTCCCGTCACTACCCGCGCTGCTGCGTTCTGGACCAGTTGGAGCCTCCGGGTGCTCTTCAAGGGGACCCCCATGTAGAGAGCGTTGCAGTAGTCAAGGCGAGAGGTGACGAGGGCATGAGTGACTGTGCACAGGGAATCCCGATCAAGAAAGGGCCGCAACTGGCGAATCAGGCGAACCTGACAAAAGGTCCCCCTGGTTACAGCCGTCAGATGTTCCTCCAAGGACAGCTGCATATCCAGGAGGACTCCCAGATTGCGAGCCCTCTCTGTGGGGGCCAAAGACTCGCCCCCAATAGTCAATGATGGAGTCAACTGACTATATCAGGATGCCGGGAGCCACAGCCACTCAGTCTTGGAAGAGTTGAGCTTGAGCCTGTTCCTCTCCATCCAGATCCGCACAGCCTCCAGGCACTGGGACATCACTTCAAGGGCATTGTTGGGGTGGCCTGGGGTGGAGATGTACAGCTGGGTGTCATCAGCATACTGGTGGTATCTCACCCCGAAGCCATAGATGATCTCGCCCAGCGGCTTCACATAAATGTTGAACAGAAGGGGCGAGAGGACCGATCCCTGCGGCACTCCACATATGAGAGACCTCGAAGTCGACCTCTGCCCCCCTGCCAACACAAACTGTGACCGGTCGGAGAGAAAGGAGGAGAACCACCGCAACACGGTGCCTCCCACCTCCAACTCTTCTAGCCGGTGCAGCATGATACCATGGTCGATGGTATCAAAAGCCGCTGAGAGGTCTAACAGGACCAGAACAGAGGAGCAACCCCTGTCCCGAGCCTTAACACCCTTCATTCTATGCTATGAAGGGTGTTAAAAATTAAAACCAGATCTTGAATTGGATCTGCAAGCAAATTGGCAGCCAATACAGCTCACGGAAGAGAAGTATAATATGTGCTGCTCTAGAAGTGCACATAACTGCCTATGCTGCTGCATTTTGTACTAGGTCTAGTTTCCAGAAAGTCTTCAAGGTCAGCCCCATGTAGAATGCATTGCAGTAGTCCAATCTGAAAGTGTCCAGAGCATGGTTGACATTAAGTAGGGCTTAATGACCCAGAAATGAGTGCAACAGATACACAAGATGAAGCTGTGCTATAATAGAGTTGCTGTCTAAACAGCCTGACTAGTGTAGAAATAATCTTTGACTATAAAGATTATAAATAAGTTTTATTAGAAGTGAATTCTTAATTGTCAGACTGGGAAAAAAGAATGTAGCATTTCAACGTGATTGTAATACTGTTCACAAGCAATTAGCACTATGTAGTAATAAACACATGCTGTATTATTTAAGAACAAAAGCAGATTTTTCCTTCCCTATCGTATATATATATATATATATAAAAGAGAATCTGTTATATAAAAATGTACAGTATTATTTTTGGGATATGTTTGCCTAATGTTTTAATAAAATGCTTAAAACTATATTAATGTTAACAGATTTGTTTTAAAGTGTTTTCTCTACTTTAAGCATGCCCAGCAAGATCGAGCTTTAACACAGACTTATAGAAAAATAGATACTGAAGTTGCAGGTCTGAAAACAATGCTTGAATCACACAAACTTGACAATATCAAATATTTAGCTGGTAAGTTAATCCTTTGTCTACATGTATGCTTGGTCAATTTCCTTATTTGCCTGCTCAGTTTATGCTTATGTTTAATATTTATGTCAAAAATGATAGTTTCTAGTTGATACCAAAAATTGACTGTTTAGTTTAGTATATTCGTTTAGAACAGGGGTCTGCAGCCTTAAACACTCAAAGAGCCACTTGGGCCCGTTTCCCACAGACAACAAACCACTGGGAGCCACAAAACCTGGGTGTGCATGGCCAACTCGATGTCACTCACTCCCACCCAGTCACATTACCCCCCCCCACCCAGCCACGCCTACCCAGGTTTTGTGGCTCCCCATGTTTTCTATGGGAAATAAGTATTTCCCTCTCTCTTTCCCTCCTTCTCTCTTTCTCTTTCTCCCTCTTTCATCTCCCTCCTTCCTGCGCACCCTCTCAGCCCCGCCACAGCTGGCCAGGGGGTCGCGAGAGGAGAAGGAGGGGAGGAGGAGGAGGGAAGCCTCCACTGCGGATTTGTTCGTTCCTCAGTCAGCCCGGATTTCCAAAAGGAAGAAAGAAAAATAGGTAATAAAAAGCCCCAAGGAGAGCACGCAGGGCTTTCCGAGAGAGTGAGAAGGGACAGAACGAGATGGGGAACGAGAGATACACACACACACAAAGACACACAGAGAGAGAGAGAGAGAGAGAGAGCTGCCAGGGCGAGTGGGGCAGAGAATGGGCTCCAGGAGGAGGTGGGGCTCCTGTCTCCCCCATTGTGAAGTGCGCTTTTGCTGTGCTGCAAGAGCAGCAGGCAGGCCATGGAGAGGGCGTTGGGTCTTCCCCACGCCCCACGCCAAAGGAAAGCCAGCCAGGGCTTCCCCTTCCCTCCTACCTTTCCTCCTTCCCCCCCACTCAATCCTACTTCAGGACAGAGGAGCGCACACTGGAAACACGTGTTGAGGCAACATCAGAGCGCGTCTTCTGACCCTCCGGCGTTTGCCCGCAACTCTCCATGCTCCTCCTGGCCTGGCTTGCTGAGGGGGGGGGAGCCCTGATGCCTCTGCTGTCCCCACCCAACGGCCCCAGCCATTGCTGCCCAGCAAAGGCACAGAAAAAGAAAGCAAGCAGAAATATAGCTTGGGCTTGGGCGAAAGATCAGAGATTGGGGAAGATGGGCAATGTGTTTCAAAGGAGAGCCGGGCCACGCCTCTCTGCCGTCCAACTCGCCAATGGGGGCGCTTCTGCCGGGCCATCTCCCCCCTCGGGCTGTTGAGCTCGGCGCTTGGGGGAGGGGAGTGCTTCCCCACGCCACCCCCTTCTTTTTCTTGGCCTGCTGACCAAGGAGGAGGAAGGCCAGGCTTGGGGGATGGCCCCCACGCCGCAACATATGCCCCCATTGTTCTCTCCCAGCCCTCTTTGCTGGCAGCAACAGCAAATTTACCGTGACAAAGGCGGAATGCTGTTGCCACGCAAAGGCAAGTGCAGGGGTGCTTCGCTCCCACACTAAGGCTTCGACCATGCAACTGACGTGACAGAGTGGCAGGGAGCCATAACAGGGGGCCCAAAGAGCCGCATGCGGCTCCGGAGCTGCAGGTTGCCGACTCCCAGTTTAGAACATACAACCCCTTGTTATTACCTCTATTGGTATATTTTGTTGGCATAATCTCTTGCCTACATTGGCTATGTGTTTGATGCCGCAAATACATTTTTCCTACTAGTTACACAGTATAGCTTTCACTTTTGATGCTTAATTGCTAAAAAAGATAGGATCTATAAAACAGGTCATATTAGCATAAATTTATTTTAATATATGTAACTTAGTGTATAAAATTTGAATAGCATAAACTGTTTTTAAAATTGTGATAAATAACTTGAAAGAATAATTTAAACAATATTTTTACTCTAGTTCTGCTTACTACTTTGTATTTCTTCCCTTTATTTGATTATTAGTCCTTTTTTCAATTTTCTTCATTCTCTGAAATACAGATCATAATAGGCTATGATCTACATAGCCTAGCAAAACATTAGTTTCCATGTTGTCTAATAATATACAGTTGCATGCAAGATTCTAGTGATATGTTAGAACATTTTTATGTTGATAGAATTGTATTTTTAAAAGGACTAAAACAAACATATTTAAACTTATTTTTATACCCAGAAATCCTTATGTATATTTTTTTCTCCGTTTCTTCATCTAGGTTCAGTATTTACATGCCTTACAGTAGCACTCGGATTTTACCGTTTATGGATATAATGAAACATTATTTTCAATGATCTTGTATTAGCTTGCCATAAGAAATAACATGTTATTTCCATCTGAAATAATGATTTTTTTCAGAGAGTGTACCATTTTATTTATTTGTTGCACTGAAGAATATAATCAAAGAATTACATAGGGGTGCCTGAAAAATGTATGGGTATCAAAATATAGAGAGAAACCTTGCCTGTGTTATGGGCATTCATATTTTGCACAGAATATATCCACTCAGAACTGAATGTTTATATGTCTCCAGGATATTATGATCCTAAAAAGATAGCTTTTAAAATACATACTACCAGGGGTGAAAACTACTTACCTTCCCTAACGGTTTGGAAGTGCACGCACCCTGTGCGTGTGGACCCTCTGCGCATGCGCAAACCCTTCTGCGCATGCACAGAGGGTAAAAAACAGGTTACTTCCTGGTTAAAACGACGACTGGGCGGGTGGGTGGAGCCTTGCGTTGCCGTCGCTACTGGTTCTCTGAACCACCCGCCGCCATCACTACTGGTTCAGCTGAACAGGTCCAAACCAGTAGCATTTCATCCCTGCCTACTACCTATATCAAATGCAAGTTTTAAGTTAGAAGATTAGCGGTATAACAACAGACATTAATGCTAAGTGAGAGGGGATAAAATAATTCAATTATCTTTATTTATCATGTTCCTTCAGAGCTAGAAATTCTTGAATTATGTCGTGGTTTACTTCCTTTGTATCGATAAACAGGATTTTAAAAATTTCTTGTTGCTGTATTTAATGGATGTTTCCATTGTCATCTGTTGTTAATAAATCTCCGTCCAACTAAAAATGTTTTATAAGCAACGGTTGTGAAAAGATTGTGCTGATAACAAAATGTCAAAAGAACAGTAGACAAAATCTTAACTGTTTCCTTAATATAAAAATAATGGAAGCAAAAACTTTTACAAAAGTTTAATTTTTAAAGTTTTACTTCCAATATTTTTATATTAGGGAAACAACTAGAGAAATAAGGCATTTTTTCTTAATAAAATAATAAAAGACTACCAACACAATCATAAACCTAATTTTTTTTAGACAGGTTAATTGGGTTTACTCTCACCAAGCAATTACAAGGTGAGATTTTTTCGAAATTTCCAGAATAACAGTAACTATAAATCAGTGACCAAATTTGACCAATGTTAAGCACTATAAGAATTTCTTAAAGAGAAAACTTTCCTAAGTAGAAAATAGTATCAGCAATTGTAGCTAGAAGATACCAAATACCACAAATACATACCTGGAAATAAATTCTAATGAAATAAAAAGAATAGTCATTTTGCAGACTGGAAAATTTTGTGTACAAGCTGCGCCAAAATTTAAACCAAGCACATATATCCATAGGCACATTTCTTCTATGGAAATGTGGAGGAGAATGCTTGTTTTACATAAGCAATTGATTAATTGTTAAATTTGGCAACATAAAAGGAGTTATCACTTTTATGATGAAACAATAAATTGATAGTAACTTTATTATTACCAAAGAAGAGAAAAATGCCTGGGTTTTTTCAGTTCAATGCCAAAATAATCCCACAGCAAAATCCTTTTAGTTGTTCATACTTATATAATTATTTCCTCTTCTTTTGTGACTTTTAATTGTCAATGACAAGCAAAATTGCCATTGATTATGATCCATATAATTAACCTCTTAAGAAAGATTAGACTTGAATAATTTCTTCTTAAAATAAAGGTGACGAGTGGTTGCACTATTTTTATCAATTTTATAAATATAAAATACTCAGGAGAAATATATTGAATAAGATTTACTGAGTAATACAAACTATGAAATATCGTTTCAGCATAGTTTACCACAACATTTGATCTTTTTTTATTATGCTACATGTGTAATTACTTCTTTGTAATACCAATTCCAAAGTCTCTTTACATATAAACTGTCACAAATTAGTGGCAAATGATGTTTTATAAAGAAATTAATTTACAAATAAATAGATACCTTAGATTACACTAAATAAAATAATAAAATAATAAAATACTCTGAAGTAGTTGTCATTGCCAGGCCTGAGATTGGTGTATTTGGTGAGCCAGTTGTGTGTCTGTGTGTGTATGTGATTATTACTGCTTTTTAGTCCAGGCAGTTATATTTTGGGACTAACTTTTAACTGTAAAACATAATAATTGTATTTTTAAAATGCCATCAATACTTCTAAATTTTGTTTTTTGCTAAATTGCATCTTATTAGTGGTTTTTCTTTCTAAATAAATGTTTTTGTCTTTATAAATAAATGTGGATGGATGGATGGGTAGATTGATTCTAGGATTGCCTTCTTGAAATTTCCTATTTGAATAATTTTAGTGGAAACTAAATATGATCTTGTATTGGAATTTGACATTTTGTAAGCCGCCTTGAGTCCCCAGGGAGAAAGGCGGCATATAAATCGCAATAAATAAATAAAATAAATAAATAAATCTTAATCAGTAAAGACCCAAGAAAATAATGGGAATTAAAACTATCAGGTTTTCTATCATGGCATAAAATTTATTGAGCTATTAAATGTCAGAATAATTATATGTGGAATAAGTGATTTAACTAATAAACTATTCAGGATAACTTTATTGCCCCTGAAATTATGTACTACTATGAGAAAACTTTACTGCTGCTGTTTTCTTTTCTTTGGGCAAAATATAGTCTCAGTTAGCAATACATTTTAAAACAGGTATTCTTTATATGATTTTTTTTTCATTCTAGGATCAATATATATGAAATTGGAAGCTAACAATTTTTTATGCAGAAATGCATTCTATTTATTAAATTTATACTTCTCTTTTCAATCCAGTCCAATCCTGTGTATAGATTAAATTCAGGACAAAGCTATTTATGTTAGAAAATTCTGAAAGCTCTCATTTTTAGAGACCATCAGGTGGGAAAATGCATATTTAATATAAAATGATTTAATTTACAGTTAGATAGATAGGAGATGAGATTGGGGGTCTTTCATTAATTGTACTAGTGGCTCTTGGCATAACTGAAATTTCTCTCAGGCAACTTCAGGATAAGAACGAAATAAATATGTATTTGATTACTGTGCTATAAACCTGGCCGCATTTATGGAAGATTTTTTCCAGAAAGCTCCCCATTTTAGCAATGGACTTTCCAAGTTTGAACATGTGTTTAAAATTTCTATAATGAGGCACAAAAATTGGAGCTAGTCCCAATAACTTTATTGTACTCCAGGACTGGCCCAAGTTCCTCCCCAACCTTCTCATTGTCCGAGTCTGCTGCCAGCAAAGCTGCCAGCTGCCGGGCCACAACACGTATTACCACAAGAGATGAGATTCTATGTGTCAACCGTCCCATTGCATTAAACAGGAAAAGAATCTCCTGGGACATTTTTTTCTTCAATAATATAACTTCGCTGAAAAGCCATATGGGTACAGAAGTAGAGAAGCCAGTTCTGACGTTTTCATTTCCCAGTCAATGACCTTGGGGTTTAGGTCTGTCTCATGCTTCCAGGGGGCACACTTGCTTTCCAGAGTTCCCTTCCAAACCTCCCTTCCCTTCCAATGCCTTCCCTCCCCTCTCCCATTACTGTTGTCTGGTTGCAAGCAGGGCGGTGTAGCAAGTCAACCATGACATCATGTATATTTCACCAGGAATTGGTGAAATCCTTATTGAGTTCTAGCCATACTAAAATATCAATCTATCCTAGTTTCACCAAAGAAGTCCGAAGATAAAATAAGTTTAGGAGTGCAGTTGACTCTGTTGATTACGTACCTGTCTCCCAGCTGCGTGTCTTCAGTCCTGCCCGCACTGCTCGAGGTCTTAGCCGAACTGACGGTTGAGCTCCCCAACCTTATGGTTGTGGGAGATTTTAATCTCCCGTCAGCCGGTGAGACATCCGAGTTAGTTCGGGAGTTCATGGCCTCCATGGCGGCCATGGACCTGTCTCAAGTTGTACAGGGCCAACTCACAGCGGTGGACATACACTCGACCTGATTTTTGTCTCTGGGCAGTGGATAAATGCTTGGGGTAGGGGTGAACTTTCCATCCAACCCCTGTCATGGACCGACCATTCCCTCCTTAGGCTAGACTTCCCATCCGTCAACCCCCACTGCTGGGAGGTGAAACCGATTCGTTGATTCTGCCCCAGGCGCCTGATGGACCCTGATAGGTTCCTGACAGAGCTTGGAACATTTCCCACTGACCTATCCCGCGATTCACCAGAGGCCCTGGTAGACGCCTGGGAACGGGCTGCCACCGGGGCACTGGATCGAATCGCCCCTTTGCGGCCTCTCCGCCGACAGGGATCCCGGGTAGCTCCATGGTTTTCCATGGAGCTGCAGGAGATGAAGCGTCGGAAGAGACGCCTAGAGGGCTGTTAGAGATCGACCCGTTCCGAATCTGACCGAGCACAGTTAAGAACCTACATTAGGTCTTATCTTGTGGCATTGGCAGCGGCGAAATGTGACTATTTCGCTGCTCTCATTGTGTCTGCAGAAAACCGGCCAGCAGCCTTGTTCCAAGTGACCCGCTCCCTCCTCAATCGGGGCGAGGGAGGACCCCTTTCAAGGCAGTGCTGAGAATTTTGCACAGTTTCTGCAGGACAAAGTCGCTTAGATCCGGACGGGTTTGGACTCTGACTGGGCAGGATCCGACGAGGAAATGGGAGCTAGTCTTGAAGGTAATATCTGGGTTGACTTTGACCCTGTTTCCATAGTTGAAGTGGACAGGATTGGGGGTAGATTGGGGGCCTCCACATGTTTATTGGACCCATGTCCCTCCTGGCTTGTTGCGGCAACCAGGGAGGTGACTGGAGACTGGATCCAGGCGATTATCAACGCTTCTTTGAGGGATGGGGCCTTCCCTGCCGTACTTAAGGAGGCGGTGGTTCGTCCTCTCGTCAAGAAGCCTGTCCTGGATCCAGCCTCCCTGAACAACTTTTGTCCCATCTCCAACCTTCGCTTTATAGCGAAGGTTGTTGAGTCTATGGTGGCCTATCAACTTCCACAATTCCTGGAGGAAGCGGATTGCCTGGACCCGTACCAGTCAGGTTTCAGGCGTGGACACAGCATGGAAACGGCATTGGTCGCCCTTGTGAATGATCTCTGGCGGGCCC